CACATTTCACTTCACTCTCGCCTCTTGGATCTAACTGGAAAGCTTCCTGACGGAGGTTCTATCTGAACTTGAGTCCTGAGCCTGGAGGAGTTGGCAGTGTGTCAGAAGGGGAAGGGGCCTGTGGCTGTTATATGTCACCAGGCACCATTGATGGTTGGTTGAGGCTGTTGACCTGAGATTCTTAGAAGCTACGAAATCACCTTCTGCTGAGTGGTCACTGCTTAGACATCTTAGGAGATTGTTTTCTTCCCTCTGGTGGCATCCAGTCCCAGTATAGTTTGAGGAACGGGGACTAGGAGATAGAGGCTTTGAAACTGGAATTACCATTGAGTGCTTACCGTGTGTCAGGTACTGTCCTAATATTTCGTTGTATGAATCATTTAATACCGCTTGAGGCAGTACTCTTAAGAGCTCCATTTTACATATAAGGAGGACACAGAGGCACAGAGAGACTGAGTGATCTGCCCAGGAACTTCCCAGTAAGTAGCAGGGCTGGGCTGTGAGGCCAGCGGCTGCTGTTGCCCTCCTATGGTGAGCCCCTTTGCTAGAGGAAGCCTTACTCTGATTAGCTCTCCTTTTCACACAGCCACAGAATGAAAAGTGGCAACTTACGTATGTTCTGTGTTTACTGGTTTCTGTCATGTGCTGCTGTATAGAAGTGTCTCTGTAATGGAGGATGAATTTGTCCTCACTCATGCGTGCAGAAGGAGAGCCGTGGTGAAGTGTAGTTGACTCTTCAGCAGTGCAGGGATGAGGGCCAGTGGAGTTGCCCCACATAGTGCATTCAGAAATCTGCGTATAACTTTTGACTCCCCCAAAACTTAAATAGTAATAGTCTACTATTGACCAGAAGCCTTACTGATGACATAAACAGTCAACACATATTTTGTATGTTACATGTTTTATATACTGTATTCTTACAGTAAAGTAAGCTGGAGAAAAGAAAATGTCAAGAAAATCATAAGGAAGAGAAAATACATTTACAGGGCTGTACTGTATTTATTGAAAAATACTGGCATATACATGTACCTGTGTGGTACAAACCTGTGTTGTTCAGTGGTCAGCTGTACAAATAAATGGTGACTACCATTGGTCACACGCATTTTAATGCTAAAAGGGAGAGTCCAGAAGACTAAGTACCAGTTTACCTAGGTAGTATAATGTGTCCCATCATGCACAAGCATTTCCGTACGGCTACTTAACAAGTAGAATTTTTTTAAATTCCTTATTTTATAAGTTTAGAAATTTAGGTAGTTTCACTGTAAGAACTCATTTCTGATTTCTTCGATTAATTGATGTTGAAAGTATTCATTTCTTCATTGGTAAGTAGTAATGATATTCCACTGAACAGATATTTGGTTTGGTTGAGCACTCACTGTGTATCAAGTAACTGGAGAAATGGAGTGAATCTCATTGGCTCACAACAGAGATTGATGTTCTCATCATCCGTATTTCACAGATAAGGAGATTGAAGTTTGCAGATACTGAGTTATATTGGCAATTAAGTGGAAAAGCTGGGATTCAAACCCAGGCAGTATGGCTTTAAGGCCTTACCACTCCTCTGTTCTGTGGGTAGACATGGAACTTCATTTGGACAGAGGCCACATTTTTATCATCTTTGTTGAATGAATGAGTCATCTGAAGATGTATTAGACAGGACCTTCCTCCAAAACAATTTACAGTCTCATCAAGAAGAGATTATTTATACAGTATCCGTAGCAAAGTAAGATAATACACAGAACATAGAAATGAAAGACTGTTTCCTGGGACACCAGGGTGGCTCAGTTGGTTAAGTGTCTGACTCTTGATTTCAGCTCAGGTCATGATCTCATGGTTTGTGAGTTCGAGCCCTGTGTCAGGCTCGCACTGGCAGTAGTGCAGAGCCTTCTTGGGATTCTCCTCTCCCTTTCTTTGTGCCCCTTCCCCCTCTCAAAAAGAAACTTTTTTTTTTTTTTTTTTAAGAACATGTCTAAGTAGGTCAGGAGAGACTTTCTGGATAAAAAGGGTTGTTTTTTTTTTTTTTTTTTTGGATATTTAGATATAGGAGGACATTTCTGGCAGAGAAGAGCAAGTAGGTAAATCGGAATTATCCACAGAGGGTTAGGCAGATAGGAGGTGTGTTCAGAGAATGGAGGGGCTTAGTTCAGGTGCAGTGTAGTACCGGAAAGGCAGGTAGTAGAAAGGCAGGCTGACCAGGGCAGTGTGGGTTCTCATTTCTGACCAGGTTCTGGTTTTCTGGTATATTCCCCAGCATCCTGTGCTGTAGTCAGGCTCTGGACCCACAGTCTCCTGGCGAGCACCCTGTGTGAACTTCCACACCTCTTTATCCTCACTTATACTTTTTTCCAGTGTGTAGTGCTCTTTACCACTTTATTCATTTCTAGCCGTCCCTGGGTACTCCAGTAAGAAGTAATTTCAACTGCTTTGGTGGCCCCCAAAATATGGTATATGTTTCTACTTCATAATTATTTCATTTTGTCTTATGTAATTGTATGTTCTTTCCAACTAAAGGGTCACCTTATAGAAGGCAAGATCAGGTCTTATTTATCATTATATCCATTCTATTTGTCCTGAGGGCCCAGTTTAATATTTGTACATAATCAGCATTTGGAATATTTGTGGAATTAATCAAATAATTGGTAAATACTAAACTAGTGCCAAAAGCTTCTAAAGGTAAAAGAGAGGTTAATTAGATTATTCCCTTTTTTTTTCAAGCTTATTTATTTACTTGCTCACACGTGAGCAGGGTAGGGGCAGAGAAAGAGGGAGAATGAATCCCACACAGGCCCAGCACTGTCAGTGTGAAGCCTGATGTGGGCCTCGAACTCATGAATGGTGGTGAGATCATGACCTAAGCTGAAATCAAGAGTCAGACACTTAACCAGCTGAGCCACCCAGCCGCCCTAGAGTATTCTTTACAGACATAATTGTGTTTATGCATATAAACACATTCAGACAAGCTTATGGAGCTTATTTGAATATATGGGAATTCTGTCAATACCATGATCACTAAATAGCTAATGAATATGAATAGGCTGTTAAAAAATGAAAATAAAAAACTTGTAATGAGGAAGATAGAGGACAAAAACGTAAGCTAATCCTACCTTTTGTTTCTTATTTTATTGAATGTCATAGTAATGAAATCATAGCCTCACAAAAAATGTTAATTTCTTAAGATGGTTGAGATTGAAGTAATTTTTTGTTCATTTAGGATATTTTTAAATGCCTATAGAGATATATTTATGCACATTCTTATGTGTCCCAATTATTTACCATAGACACGTATTTTAATTACAGTATAATTGAGTTACTAAAGATAAATCAGATACTGACTTAGCCACATACTGACTGGTGTACAGAGGCAAATTATTTAAACTTATGTCAATTTCCCTATCTATGAAGCAGGATAAGAAAATCTTGAACCATAATCCTGTAACTCAGTGAAATAATGTAAATAAAGGACTTACTGTGGTGCCTGGTATATACTAATGCTAAATAATTATAATTGTTTTTACTGTTTTGTTTTACTTAGTGTTTAATATGAGCTTGGTAGAGGTTTTCTTAATTTCATGTCTCTACGTTGATCATCTTAATCCTAAAATTTTCTTTTCAGTTTTAATAAAAGGAAGACAATATGTCTAAACATATTAATGATTTTGTTCTATTAAACAAGCTTATGGACCTTATTTGAATGTATGGGAATTCTATCAATACCATGATCACTAAATAGCTAATGAATATGAATAGGCTGTTAAAAAATGAAAATAAAAAATATCAAACAAAAACGAAAAAGTATTTATGTTAATAATTATAGATTAAAGTTGTAAAATAAAACAGAAACAGAATAATTTTGTATCTGCTACATTCGTTTCTTAAATACAGTTACCTAAGTTAGAGTTATAGGGACATAAGTACACAGTTGTTACTCTTGTCAGTGTGAATAAATACAGTCCATTTGAAGGACAGTTTGGAAATGCTTAGTAGGGGCCATACTGGTATTTATATTGTTTGACATAGTAGTTCAGCTCCTGGAAATATGTCCTAAGAAAATAACCTTTCTGGATAAAAAGAGTTATTGTCTTGTCTTGGAGACAAGAACTGAGTTTATAGTAGTATTAACTATAACGGTAAAAACAAACAGAAAACAACGTAATGAATGGTAAAGATTAATGATAGTATTAATTAACACACTAAGGGCTCGTTATGCAGCTGTTAAAAATGCTCACTATAGCAATATTGGAGAACGCATGCGAAATAATACTGAATGAAGAAGGAGAATAAAGTTGTGCATTTGTCATTGCTATGACTATGTAAAAATGTGTGTGACAAAGAATAATTTTTACAAAGGAATGTAAATGAATTATTATGAGTAGGTTTTTTCCCCTTTTGAAAATTTGCTCATAGTTGGGGCACCGGGTGGCTCAGTCAGTTAAGCATCCAACTTCATCTTAGGTCATGATCTCACAGCTCGTGGGTTCGAGCCCCACGTCGGGCTCTGTGCTGACTGCCAGCTCAGAGCCAGGAGCCTGTTTTAGATACTGTGTCTCCCTCTCTCTCTGACCCTCCCCTGCTCACTTGGTCTCTCTCTGTCTCTCAAAAGTAAATTAAAAACATTAAAAAAAATTTTTTTAAGAAAATTTGCACATCAATTATTGAATTATTTGTGGAATTAAAAGAATAATGGTATTAAAAGAATTTCCTTGGTCAATATTAATGCCAAAAACTACTGTAAGAATGAGATTAATTTGAGTATTTTTTGTAGACATATTGTACTGTGAAGTTGTTTGAGTCAACTTTTAAAAGAGTTACACCTATCATAAAGTAGAAAAAGATTTTTAGGATAATCTTCATATTTCTGGCAGCTTAGAAAAAGGTATCTCAAGTTACTATGACATGGTTTATACATAAGTATAACATGAGATACAGATATATAGGGCCTTAAAGAGATGGCAGGCTTCACGGGGTAGGACTATTTTTAATGTGACTTCTCTTTATTTTAGAATTGATAGATGTCACATGCACCCTGCTGCTTCTAAACCCAGACTTCACCACCGCGTGGAATGTAAGGTACGTCATTCTCACCAGTGATCAGAAGAACTTGTCTAAATTTCTGAAGACCTCTAAGCCCCATGAGTTGTTAGCTTTTTGAAAAATGAAATGCAAACCATGTATCTCTTGCATTTTATGCTTATTTCTTCTACCCATTCTTTTTATTATCTCCATGACAGTTTTGACTTAAACTTGGCTTCTTTTTGTATGTTTTTGTTTTTGCTCCATATACTTCCCTGTCTGAAATATAAATTATCATGTTGAATTATAATATACCATTGTATACATGCTTTTATTTTCCTTCCTTTTTAGAGGAGTAGGGGCAGCCAGCATGATAGGTTGGTTTGTAAGGCATTGGTTCTGAATTTGTGAAGCACAGTGTTCAGTGTGTAGGATGAGGACTAAAGGCCATGACCTTGTAGTCTCCGTTAAGCTACTAATATTGTGACCTCTGTGGGCATATCACTGCAGGTCTCTGGCACTCAGGATTTTGGGAAGGGATCTCATTTGATTAGTATCTTAGTTCTTTCATCTGGTTATTTTTAGCTTTAAACACAAAATACTTTGTAGAAATCTCAAAGTTCAGACCAGGTTCATGTTTGTTTTTCACTGAAATTTTTTCAGTTAAACAGTAGGTATGGTTTTTAAAAAATGGTCGTCTCTTTCACTAATACACATTATCTTAGAGGAAAGCAAGATACAAGTTAAAGAGAAAGGTGAAGTCCTATTGAACATAGTGAATACATTTTAAATTTTCCTGTAAAGGAGAGCCATAGTCTATCTTTAAAGATGACTTGAACGATTTATTTAATCTATGTACTAGGGTACCTATTTTTGTATGTGTAACTGATTTTTAAAAGTTTAGGTAACTTCTATTATGTCTTTTTAAATTGTTCAATGATTTATATTCAGATGTTTAGAGAAAGGAGTAAGAAAAATATAGGATGAGATATAAGGCTTTAAATTTACATAATTTTAGAATTCTGATTTTCTTTTCTGGAAAGCACCACAGTGGGTAGTTTATGAGTGGCTCCTGTATTCTAGGGACATACTGTAGCTGTACTCGTTACTTCAGTGAATCCACACAATACTCGACAACATTTGTTCATTTATCAAATATTTATTGATTGCTTTATGTGAAGTTTTAGGCACTGGGAATAGAACCACAAACAAACCCCTGTCCTTGTGGAATTTTTATTCCAATAGGGGAAGAAAAGAAGTAAAGACATTACTAAGTAAAATATACATTAGATCAAGTGGTGGTTAAATCCTGTGGTGAAACCTGGGGCGGGAAAGTGGGGAATGCCATGGGGAGGATGGGAAGAATTGTGTTGCAGTTTCAAGTAGGGGGCAGCAAAGACTGCCATGGAGGTGGGGCTCAATCTGTGAGCTCTGGGGTGAGAGCATTCTCAGAAGAGGGAACAGTAGGAGGTGTGAGAGCTGTGTGTCGCGCTCAGAGTGCCCCTTGGTGCCCTGGGACGGCGAGGCAGCCAGTGCGGCTGGAGTAGCGGAACCAGATCTCACAGGGTTTGTAGGGCTTTCATAAGCTGTGGTAGAAACATGGACTCTTAACTCGGGGGGACAGAATGTCCTAAAAGCTGAGAAGGGACAGTATCTCACTTTAAAAGCTCTAGCTCCTGCGGAAAGTAGACTGTAGGGGTGCAGGGGGTGGTCAGGCAGTGGTTGCAGTAATTTGGGTGAGAGATGCTGTGATTTGAGGTAGAACTTAGACGTGGAAAAGGTGAGATTCTCCCTGTATTTTATGAGCCGTTTAAGCTTTGAGTGTATTTGATAAACTGATGTTAAAGACACAGATGATGAATTTGATGCGGGAAAGAGAAAGAAGAGGGTCAAGCTTGTCTCTGGTTTTTGGCCCGAGCAACAGAAAGGATGGAGTTGCCCTTTACTGAAACATGACTGCCTGGAGGAGGCACAGATCTGGGTGGGGAGTGATGGATGAAGTCAGGAGTTCAGCCTGGGACACTTTAGGTTTGTGTCCTTGGGCTTGTATGTGAATCTGAAGTTCAGGCAGGAGTTTGAAGCCAGATGTAAATCTGGGAGTCACTAGAAAATGGGTGGCATTTAAGGCTGTGAGATAGTTTGAGGCACCCAGGGGAGTGGATGTGGATAGAGGAGAGAACCGTGCAGAAAATGAGCACTGGGACCCTACAGGTTGCTAGTGTTGCACGGCCCAGTATAGGGGCCTCGAAAGGTGAGCCGTCTCAGTTGACATGTGCTGTAAGTATGAACTGCATATCAGAATCCGAAGACTCAAAACCCAAAAAGTAAGATCTCTTGTTAATAATTTTTATATTGAATTACATGTTTAAATTATATTTTGGACATATTGAGTTGAATCAAATATATTGCTTTATACTTGTTTTTAATGTAGCTGTTAGAAGAATTGAAATTACATGCAGAGCTCACATTGGTGACTCACGTATTTCTGTTGGGCACTGCTGTCCTAGAGTTTGCGTGTTGAGGAATCCGCAAGGGAGACTTTTAGGAAGGAGCTATAAAGTCAGAACTGAGAGCTTTCTTAAGGGTAGGGACCACGTCTTTTTTTCCTTTTGTTTCCCTACCATCCGCTACAATAGTGCCTGGCACGTAATCAGCCTGCGGACTAGGCACTGAAAATAATTAAATTGAGTGAAAAAGAAATGAAGTTGAGTGAAAAATAGAGAAGTGGGAGTACCGTTTTTCCTCGGGCCCTCAGTTCATCATTATCACAGAGGACTCAAAAATCCTTCAGCCAGAAAAGATCTTACTAGTACAGGGTACATACGCACACAAACGTGTACACACATACATACACATACACACACACACACGATTTATTGTGTATTTTATAGGGCAGTTCAGTGTGGGAAAAAGAACCTGGTCTTAAGATACATGGATCTTGGTCCTTTTTCATTAATTAGCTAGCAGTTGACTTTGTAGGCAAAAACTTTCACCTTCACAAGAGTTTTAGTTTCTGTATTTGTGAAATAAAAGATTTGAGCTAGGTAATTTTTTTATGATTCTTTTCAAACCGTTTTTCAATTTTTGCATGGTCTGGTTGTTGGGAAATTTGTTCCATAAATGTGACTTCAGTGATATTGACACTTCTGAATCACTTTTGAAAGTTATTCTAGTAAGATGATCAATGAAGTTTTGGCGCTAAAGGAATAAAAGGAAACCTTGATTCTTAAAAAAAAATCCATTTGTGGGTATGTATTCTAGTAAGTGTTAATTCGTATCAGTAAGACTGACTGACATGAAGACATAGGATCATGAGTACATTTTATGCAAAAACAGCCAGCCTTGGAAAGTAAATTGATCTAACCCTGTAAAGTCTCTTGCAGATCAAATACTCAACACTCTGTTTAATTGTTGGTGTATTTTTTCTGCAGTAACTCTGGGAAGCATTAAGTGATTTTGACTGTATGTTAGAAACTGCTAAAAGATGGTATTAATATCTCAGCAGTTCATTTTATAGGTGTTGTGGCCTTAGGGGGGAAATATAGATGCAAGAATAAGTTTTTGAGCTGATTTCCTGTGATTACAGGCAGTGATGGATATAATTTAAAAATTCAGCCAGTGGCAGAAAAAAGTGACCAGGACTTTTTTTAGTTTGAAATTCAGTGAATTATTTCATGAAGGAGCTTGACTTCATAACAGTGTCCTGTTTATTCCATTATTCGTGAACATAGAGTAAGCACAACATCTTTGAGCAACAAAAATAGCTGACACCAAGCTCCCGTGATCATGTCCTTTACTCATAGTCTATTGAGTTAAGTTCGTTACTCTATTTTATGCAGATTAGATGTTTGCTTCTGACACTTTGAGTTCCAAGACCCCAAGTCTAAGTTACTGATTCTCCCCTGGCTTCAGTTGTCTCTTCTGTAAAATTGAGATAGTAGTAGGTTGTGCCATATGGAATTGTGTTAATAAATCAAAAACGATTAAACCTAAGCATCCAGATCATGGTTCCTAACACTATTCTCTAATAAAAGGAAATAGGCTTCTTAAAAAAATGTCTGATTCTCAGAGCAGGGCAGGAAATATATAAGATGAGTGTGGCATCTCAGAGAGACAGAAAGTAAGGAAGTGCTCAAAAAGCAAAATGGTGGGAATATGTCAAGGGCTTCTGTAGCCAAAGCTAGGACAATTGAGCAATAACATAATATCGATTATACCCTGAAGTGTAAAACGGATGTTCATAGTGACATAAATAATTGAATAAGCAAACAAAAAGTAGTCAGATAAATCTCCCATATAGAAGAATTCCAAATAATTTATCTAGGCAGTCCCCTCAGGGAGCTGGAGAAGAGCTCCCCTACTCCTTAAGTTAGAATTTCTCTCCAAAAAGCACAATGGAAAAACCTGACAGGTAGCATCTTACCCAGGTCATCAAGGTCAGCATCAGCTGGGACAAGTCATGATGATATTTTGTGCCCTTGGATATGATGCAATAAAGATGGTACTTTGTGGTCTCTTCCTCCTCAAAACCCTGGTCTAACCATAAGAAAAACTTCATATAAAATACCTCATTAGGACTCATAAAGACTGTCACAGTTTATCTGAGGAGCCTAAGAAGACATAACCAAATGTAATGTGATGTGCTGGTCAGGGTGCTGGACTAGATAAAAGACATTTGGTAAAAACTAAGGAATTCTGAATAAAGTATGGAGTTCCAGTAGTAATTTACTGATGGTGGTTTATCAAATATGACAAATGTACTATAATAATAAAGGAAATCTCATACAGGGTATACAAGAATTCTCTGTACTATCCTTACAACTTTTCTGTAAATTTAAAACATTTGTAAGATTAAAAGTTTTATATTTAAAAGCTTTAAGACTTTTTTAAAAAATAATCTCTATACCCAACGTGGGGCTTGAACTTACAACCCTGTAAATCAAGAGTCACATGCTCTACTAACTGAGCCAGCCAGGTGTCCCAAAAGTTTATTTAAAAAAAGAAAAAATGGGGGTGCCTGGGTGGCTCAGTCAGTTAAGTGTCCAACTCTTGATTTTGACTCAGATCATGATCTCACAGTTTGAGTTTGAGCCTCATGTCAGGCTCTGTCCTACCAGTGCTGAGCCTGCTTGGGATCCTTTCCTCCCTCCCTCCCTCCCTCTCTCTCTCTCTCTCTTTCTATCTCTCAAAATAAATAAGCTTTAAAAATGTTTTAAAAAATAATAAAAAACAAAACCCTCAAAACATTTGCGTATCAGCTATTTCATATGGTTTAACATAACACAGGATTGTCTTGAGGATTAAATTAGATAATATATGTAAGTCACTTAACGCGCAGTGCCTGATTCAGGAAAAGTATTCAGTAAATGGTAGTTTTTATGAGGATAATTTTTATTATCGTTATTGTTATTTCAAACAGAATAAAGATAGAGAAAAAAAAAGATGGCATTTGTTTATGCAGTTATTACTATGTGCCACGTACTAAGCTAACCAATAGAGACTTAGCCTTGGACAAGGTACACAGAGCCCCTGGTTTCCTACAAATTTAAATCAAGTGACCGCAGAGAGAAACCATAACCAATAAGTTGAGATGGAGAGAAGACAGAAAAACTTAAATAAGATAAACTTTGTAGAAGTATAAAAAAACCTTCGCCTGATTTCATCCCAGTAAAGTTGTGCGGGTAGCACGACACTGTTCCCTACCACCCCTTGCTCTTTATAAAACCACGCAGGTGGCCTTTTCCTTTCCAAAGTACTTCTCCCCACATTTGACCTTTGTGTTTATTCCTTCGTCCTGTTAGCAGAGTGTCACCTAAGACTTTTAGGATGAAACTCAAAACCCAACTTACTCAATATGCATGAAAATAAAGCCACCTCAAGTGAAGGCAGTACTGTATTTCCTCAATAAGAGAAGTCCAAAAAAAATTTTTAGGCTAATATCAATATGTTACCTTAAACTACGTACATGAAATAAGGAGCTGTCTTACTACGATAATTACTTTTTAAATTTAGTCACATACCTTTAAAATAGCATGTTATGTAAAGTACTTTAACTTGTTAATTCATCATTTTCTTACATTTCATGAAACAGTTTAATTCAAGTGTTTCATGTGGTTTGTGGATCAGTTACTTTGTCATCATGAGTTCTTTTCTTCAGCTGACCCAGCAGCTTTCCTGAGCACACAAGCTTACGTAGAGCTAGCTTGTTTGAGATATAGCACTTTATGAATCTATCTGTGACTGAAATTTTTCTCAAGATAGATTCCTACTTGAATGCATTCGAGCAGTTGATTTTCTTTTATGATGATCTCTTGGTTCAGTGAGAGCTATAACTTAATTACTGTATTTCTTTTTCAAGTGATCTTTAAAAATTTTGTTTATTACAGTATTTAATACCTACAGTGTTCAGTCCTGTCCCCAGGAATGTTTATTAAATTGTTACTTAAATTTTGCTTGCTTCCTTATATTTGGTGATCTTTTTTTTTTTAATGTTTGTTTATTTTTGAGAGAGATAGAGACCGAGATAGAGTGGGAGTGGGAGAGGGGCAGAGAGAGAAGGAGACACAGATTCGGAAGCAGGCTCCAGGCTCTGAGCTGTCAGTACAGAGCCCGATGACTGGCTCGAACTCGCACACAAGCCATGGGATCATGAGCCCAAATAGGACGCTTAACCAACTGAGCCACCCAGGTGCCCCCATCTGGTGATCTTTTAAAGCATCCATATGTAACATTGATTGAGGTTATTTCAGGCTAAGGTATCTTCTCATATATGTTGTTCAAAATAAATTAAGACAGCACCTCTAACTTAAGAAACTTTGTAAATTTTCAAATATAAAGTGACTGCTCTTTTCTGAAGAAAATTTTGATTTCCTCATAGACACATATAACAGTCTAGGTAGGCAGTAGTAAATAAGGTGAGTTTTAAAATTCAGTCCATGGAAACGAGGCTGCTACAGTAAGTTCTGTACCACAGAATTCGGCACATCTCCCGGAAGGCTTGTTCAAACACTGCTCTGTCACTAGTTTGTGATTCAGCGGGTCTGGGATGAGACCTGAGCATCTCTATTTCTCACTGATGTTGCGGTTAAGGACCTTACATGGAGAAACACTGTGTTACAAAGAAGTTAAAAGTATGTAGGATAATATTTTGTCTCCTTTTACACTATAGGTATCCTGACTTACTCTTTGAACGAAACATTACTGATTTCAGAAGAAAGAGGACATAGGACTGTAGAAGTAATTCACTGTTGCATTAGTCTTTCAGTGACACACAGACTTCCTGTACATTGAAAGAAAAATAGTAAATACATTTGTTAAAGTATCCATAAACCTCAGTACCACTTCAGGTTATATTCTGAAGTGCCTGACCTAAAAATGATTATAAAATATAAACATGTGTTATCACTGTTCAGTATTTTCATTACAAAGGAAGTTGTTTCCCTTATCAAATAATGTAGAAAGAGCACATCTTTTGGGAACTTATCCTAAGTAATGGTAGAAACAAAAGAGGTGTTAAGCACAAGGCTCTGTTTCAGAAGTATTTCAGAATAGCCAAAACCTGGAAGCAACCCAAACGTCTAATCAAAGAAGAAAAGGTCATTAAATGAGAGTGTAGCCATTCAGTGAGAACTGTTTGACTGTTTTAGATGTTCACTTTAGAACCATGGGGTAATTCTTAAGCTATAAAACAGAATTTGAAATTATATGTTAACTATATACACATATGGGGAAAGAGAGGGAAGATTGAAAAACAAAAATAGTAATTTTGTTAGGGTAATGATTGAGTGAATGATCTTTTTCCTTATATTTTAATCGTACCTTGTGTGTTGCTTTATGTGTATTTTTCAGTAATGAACTTTTTTCAGCTTATTAATCCTGTTACTTTGAGATAACAAGAATATATTCTTGGGTACTTTGTGTGCTATTTATGAGAGTTTCATGTTCTATTTATTTTTTTTCTTGGAAATTCACTTCACACTGAGGTTCTATTATTAGCCATGCAGTATGTTTGGATGGAAAGATAGAGTAATGGTTCTTTTTATTTTTATTTTACAGAAAAGAGCTGATCCTCTCTGGCACTTTAAATCCAATTAAAGACTTACATCTGGGAAAACTGGCCTTAACTAAATTTCCAAAGAGTCCAGAAACATGGATTCACAGGTGTGGTTAATTTACATTATAGGTTTCTTACTTCGGATTCAGAATGGCTGGAGAAAAGCACAGTGTCTGTCAATCAGGGTCACATATTGGTTCAGAGTATGAATTCTAAAACTAAGTTACCTGCTTTTAAATCTAGATGCCATCACTTGCTCCCTGTGTGATCTTCAGAAATTATTTAATCTCTTCAAGCCTCAGTTTTCTCATTCATAAAATGGGTATAATAATCACACCTATTTCAGAGTTAATGCTTGGCTTTACCTGAGATAATGTATGTTAACATTGCCACAGTGCCTGACACATATTAAATACTCAGGAGATTTTAGCTGCTGTTATTAACTCTCTGAGCAGTCATAATAGAGGTGGCATTCAGATATTCATCTGTTATGAGCAACTTGGGTTTATAATTCACTCAGATGTGTTTCTGGTACAGATTGCTGTGGTGATAGTTGTGGTTATTAAAATTAACAAAATAAGGGCAGCTGAGATGAATGGTGTATAGGCCGCGCTAAAGTTGCAAAGGATATTTTTAGGTTAAAGGCCCGAGGCAGCCAAAATGCACATAAAATCTCTTCTCCACATCCTGGCTCTCTGGAGCGTCTTCCTCTTGGACTGCAGAGAACGACTCCGTTCTGACTAAAATGAGATGGTGTGGGCTTTGCTGGCTGGGGTCAGTGGGGAGGTTCTTCAAAGAAGTCTGTTCTCAGTTTTCTAAGCCACTTAGAACTTTCCTTAAATCCTGAGCATTTTTAGGATCTTAGTCAGTTCAGGGTATCTTAGGTGTGATCTTGCCTTTGACCAGCATTGCACATGGGCTGCTTCCACTGTGCGGTCCCTGGTATTTTCTTCGTAGGACTTGGGACAGCATTTGTGAGAGGCGTGTGAGTGTGCGTGTGGAGGTTTGGGAGTGGGTGAGTGATGGCAGGGGAAGTGCGCTATATTGAATATGCATTTGCCAGCTTCTAGGCTTATCCAGTATTTTATAAAGCAAGCTTTTGTTGTTAAGGTAAAAAAGCTTCTATTTGAAAATGACAAAATGAATTTTTGTGCTCAATTTCTAGTGACCTTTGAGTTGAAAACTTTAGTACATAAGAATGCTTCTTACTGAGAAAATATTTGTAAAAACTAAAGACATTAGGTGGTTAGAGATGCTTTTTTAGTGCTTTTCGTTAAATGTGTGCTAATGAAAATCTTAAATAGACAAGGGGAAAATCTGTGGGTAAAGACATTTTAAAACCTCCTTGATGGTTTAACTAATTATATTGTATTTGTGTCCTTCCAGATTCTCTGCTATAATAAAGAAATTCTGCTTAATGAACATAATCATCATGCAGTTTCTTGTTTGCAAACAAATAAGAGTAGGGTGAGGCAGGCACGTGTAGTTAAAGATGTGAACCATGATTCCTCTAGTATCTACCAGCCATGAATAAGTATCCCCTCCAGCACCACCACCACCATCACAACCCTACGCCCTTACATACAACACACACACACACTCACTCACTCACTCACACACACCTTGTCTTTGCACTTCCTGGCCAGTTGGACTTTTTGAGTTGTCATATTGGAATTAGGCAGTCTCTTTTTGACACATTTTAATGTTTTAGAAAGGCTTCTCTCTCTGTCCTTTCTTCCTCCTCCTCCCCATCCACAGTGCTGAAGCTAATGGTATCTTTAAAAACAAATACAACAAAGTATTCCCACTGCCGGAAAACGGGGCTCATAGACAGGCATTATTTTGCATTGCATGAATGGAAATTAAGATCAAAGAAAACTGGCTGTTTTCCTCTCTGATTTATGTTCTTTCTTCGTTCTCGTTCCCACACGTATCTTAACAGGCGATGGGTGCTACAACAGCTAATTCAGGAAACCTCCTTGCCTTCCTTTGTGACAAAAGGAACCTTGGGAACAATTCCTGCAGAAAGGACACAGAGACTGATACGGGAAGAGATGGAGGTCTGTGGAGAAGCGGCTGGGAGATACCCGAGCAACTATAACGCCTGGTCCCATCGCATCTGGGTCCTGCAGCACCTGGCCAAGCTAGACGTCAAGGTAAGGATGCGATTCCAGGCTCCCGAAGCGCATTCCCTGTCTGCCCTTAAATCTTCTGATTGCGCTTCCTCCTCAGAGGAACTTTTAAGGAGGAAAGTGGAGGAACTAATGGCCCAGCAGCCTGGGAGGGATCTAGCAGCTGATACCTCCAGGGAAACCCTGGCTGTTAACAAAAGTTTGCATTCCTCACCAGTGCAGTTTTTGGCACTCTTAAGGTTAGTACATAGGTAGAACTAGCAAATTTAAGCAGTAAGGAAGACCGAGTGTAATTCATTTTGTCCGGGGACAGGAAGGGATTATTAAGCCTTATAGAATTGGACTTGTTCTTTCTTGGTGGTCTTTCATTATGTGACTTCATGTGCTGAATCAGCTGGCTGCCTGTTTGCCTTCTCTCCTGGGGAGGGGAAAGATCTCACCTGGTGTTCCCAAACTTGGATGAGTCTGTAAACCACCTTAGGATTTCTGAGTCCCACTGGCCCAGGCCTACTAAATTGGGGAGAGGGCAGGATTTAAGATCAGTATTTTTCATGGGCTCAGGGAGCTTTCTGGATGCAGAGCCGGGTTGGAAGCTGTCATAGCCTAATCTTTCACTTTAGAAATGAGGAGATGGAAGTTTCCAGAGAATTTTAACGGCTTAGGCTTGGCCACAGATGTATCACTTATTATTCATCAGATCCAGATCAGCTCTCCTTTTGTTCCATCATACGTACGACAGCTTCTGTGTTTCTTCACTTCCTGTGTTTCGTTGCCGTGAGAATCCACGGTACTCCTTGGAACGCTTCCCAGGCCTGAGACGACGTAAAGGGGTCACAATTGAGTCATGTGGCACTTTCAGACTCACAGGGAAGCATTCTCTAATTCTGCCCACCATCCCCTTCCTACATCTCCCTTCTCGTGGTCCGGCTCCCCTCTCTGTCCTAGCCAGAGATTCCTCCAGGATATTTTTAAAATTCCAGAGGAATTTTAAGCCAACACTTCTGGAAAAGGAGCCCCTCCCCTCCAGTTTATATTGGCTTTGTGTTTCAGGAGGGGACATCTCTTAAGGGAGTAGAAAGAGCACAGAGACAGAATCATACTGACCTGGCCTCAGATTTTGGTCCTACTAGCTCGGTATGGAAAGTACACCTTTCATGTTCCATCTGTAAAATAGCGGCTCCACTGCCTGCCTCAGTGGATTGTGAGAATTACTGGAGTTCGTGCCTGTGAGGTACTGGGCACCTAAGAGAGGCTCACTGAATTTTATTTAGTTCCTCTCTTTGTGCCCCACCGAGAGAAAGTTTAGGTGAAACTGGCTACCAGTTTGCTAGATGAACTCCGTGTAATTTGTTCCTGAAAAAGTCCTGAAACTCTTTCATTCCCAGACGCTGCCCTGTGTGCCGGGTGTGGCGTAATGACGAAGAGAGTGCCCTCAGCAAGTTGAGAGTCTAGTGGAGGAATAGGTGCCAGCACTTACAGCACAGTGATGCTTGCCGGCGCCGACGGAAGCACCCCGTGCGGTGGGAGCCCGGAATGGCTCCTCCTCCAGGCTGGCCTCGCGTTGGACGGCTGCCAGAAGGAAGGCTGCGGCCGGGTCAGGGGTCGGGTGGGCTGTGGGAGGTCTGGGTCCCTACGGGGTCCGGTCATCCCAGCTCCACAGCCTGGTAGTGTGCGGGGCGCGGGGAGGGGCCCAGAGAGCGTGGAGGATGAAGAGAGAGGCAGAGTCCGGGTGAGCTGAGAGGTCTTTGGAAACTCTCCTGCCTTGATGCGGAGCTTTTAAAGTGGCATTCCCATAAAATCAGGAACACAGGGCCAAGGGGAAACGCCTGGGGTCTTGAGACTGTTCGGATGTTAAAGATGACAACTCATGAGTGGTACGTTGACTCAGCTGCCTGCTCCAGTCCTGGGCTCACCTGGGCTGCCCGCCTGCCCTGCCCTGGCCCTCGGCACTCTTCCTGTCGCCACAGCTCCCAGGGCGCTCAGGCGGGGGCTGGGCTTACAGAATCCCCTTTCTGGTCTTAGGAGCCCCTGGGCCCCGCTAGGAGATGATGCCCTACTACACTGTGTCTATTAGACGGAGCGATCACAGAGGCCCCGTGGTTGAAAGCAGCTTAAAAACACACGTAAATGAGCTGGCATCTTTTTACATAGACAATTGAAAATAATATTTTTGGGGGGCGCCCGGGTGGCTTAGTCGGTTGAGCGTCTGACTTTCGCTTCGGTCATGATCTCGCGGTTCGTGGGTTCGAGCCCCGCGTCGGGCTCTGTGCTGACTGCCAGCTCAGAGCCTGGAGCCTGTTTCAGAGTCTATGACTCCCTCTCTCTCTGACCCTCCCCTGCTCACGCTGTCTCTCTCTCTCTCTCTCTCTCTCTCCTAGAAATAAATAAAAACATCAAAAAAATTAAAAAAAAAAAAACCAATAATATTTTTTTTAAAGTGCTGGTATTTTTTGATACAGGTATGAAAAGGGTTGTAGAAATGGGTATAATCTTACTGAAGGGTAACATGGCAGTGTTTATCAGACTTTACCCAAAAAAAGGTGTGTTCCCTCTGATCTAACACTTTTGCTTGTGGGAGTTCATCCTAAAGACATAACAGGAGACACGGTTCGCTGGTGTCATGATCAAACAGAGGCTCTACTCCATGGTCACGCAGACCTAACATGAATCCTGACTGTATCACCAAATTGGCTGGTGGCCCTGGGGGAGTTTCTTAGTCTCACTAACCTTCAGTTTCCTCATCTGTAAAATGGGGTTGTTGGTAATCCCTACCTTATCAAGTGTTGTGAATTAAATGGGAGAATCCACATAAAGTGGCTCTCACAAGGGCTCGTACTAAGTGTTCAGTAAACACTGGCTATTATATTAAATATGAAAGTTTGATATATAAAAATACCATTTATAGTAGTGAAATACTAGAACAGTCTAACCCTCCAATAATGACAGATTAGTTACATTGCATTATATCACAAATTGGAATATTTTGTTGATACTATAAGTTATATTTTGGAAGATTACTTAAAGAAAAATGTCTACGATAGGATAAGGATCTAAAACAAAATATGAGATGGTTCTAATATAATTTTGAAACATATTATTAGCATTGAATGAGATTTTGAAGTGTTTGGAACAGTGCCTGGCATGTTGTTACTACTGAACATACACATACACGCACACGCGTGCGATGTTGTTACAGAGATACTGTTTTGTGTTTTCTATTACAAGCATGTGTATATTTTCTGCTCAGAAAAAAAATAAAGAATTGTGAACAGTGCTAGGGTGGAATTATGAGATTTTTATTTTCTGTTTTCTGTACTGATTGTGTATTCTAAGTAGATTTAAGTAGATTTTAAAATAGTCTCATTTGTGACGGTGGGGTGAGAGGAAAGGCTCACGGTCAGACAGTTTATTACTACTAGCCAATTGAAAGTTGATACGGTGTGTTACCTGAGAAAGCACACAGGGTCATTTCTGCAAAAAAGACACAGATGGCCAATAACAAAATGAAAAGATGTTCAGCATCTTAGCCATCAGAGAAATGCAAATGAAAATCACAGTGAGGTATCATTTTATACCGACTAGCATGGCTAAAATGAAAAACAACAGTTACCAGTGTTGACAAGGATGTGGAGACATTGGAGCCCTTATACATTGCTGGTAGGAATGTGAAATAGTACAGCCACTGGTAGGAAACAGTTTGGCATTTCTTCAAAACATTAAACCTAGAATTACCATATACGACCCTGCAGCTCCAGTATTAGGTACATATATACACCCCAAAGAATTGAAAACGTGTGTTCATACCACACCTTATTACAGCAGCGTTTACAGCATCATTAAGTCATAACAGCCCCAGAAAGGTAACAACTAAAAATGTCCAGTAACAGATGAGTGGATAAATGCAAAGTGGTATATCCATCCATACAATGAAATAGTACTCGCCCACAAAAAAGGAACAAAGTCCTGATCCATGCCATGACATGGATGAACCTTGAAAACGTTGCTGATTGAAAGAAGCCAGATTCAGAAGGCCACATATGCTATAATCCCATTTATACGACTGAAAGAGAGACACAGGTCTCGAAGGTATGGTGGCAAGAGAATTAAGAAGCAGGGGGCAGACTCTCCAGGAGCCGAAGCCTCAGTCTCCCGGCTCGAGCCTCTTTTATTTTGCTACTTGTCTGATAACAGCAAGCACATACAACATGATATTTGGCATCTTGACAGGCCATGCACCTGCAGTGTATTCCATACTGGGTCATGAGTACATCTGGCGCCAGACAAAACCTTCTTATCCCCGGCTTGGCGCCTGTATGATGTCCTTCTGGAGAGAATGAGCAGTCCTGGCGGCTTTCTAACCTTGGGAATGGAACTGCTTTCAGTTCCTTGCTGCTCCGTCCTTTCCTTCAGGACTTTCTTATGGTGCCTCTGGCTTCTTGTTCTCCAACATACGACAGTCAGAATAAGCAGAACAGAGCGAAATAAGTCAGGCAGAGAAGGACAGATACCATATGTTTGCACGTATAGGAGGATTAGGAGGAACTTAACGGAGGACCATGGGGGAGAAGAAGAGGGGAAATGGTGGGGGAGAGGGAGGGAGGAAAACTATGAGAGACTCTTGAATACTGAGAACAAACTGAGGACTGATGGGTGTGGGGGGGAGGGGGGTGATGAGCATGGAGGAGGGCACTTGTGGGGATGAACACTGGTGTTATATGGAAACCAACTTGACAATAAACTATTTAAAAAAAAAAAAAAGAATAGGCAGAACAGATCAGTGGGTGCCAGAGACTGGGAGGAATGGAGATTTAGGGGACTCCTAATAATAATGGGAGTTATGGAAGTGATGGAAAATGTTCCAAAATTAGACAGCAGTGATGGCTGTACAACTCTGTGAATATACTAAAAACCACCAGTTTATTTTTTAACTTCAAAAATTGATTCTTAAAGTATATTAGAAAGAATAAAACTTCAAGAATACCTGAGAAATTACTGAAATAAAAATGAGGAACAGTGTATACAGAGTATATGTTTGTAAAAATAGAGTAATCCTGGTACTCGCTCAAAAATTAACACAGTAATGGAAAATATAAGGCCCAGAAGCAAATCCCAATACATAACGTGTGCTAATTTCATTGAAATATGGAATTTCACCTAATTGGAAAAAGGATTCTTTGTTCAATCTGTGATGCTGATTAAGATTGACCCTTTAGCAAATACTTGTCAGGTTTTAATCTCATATACCAAACTGAACTCTAAATGGAATAAAAAACTACCTGAAGAAAAAAAATGTAATTAAAAAAATCAATTGCAATAATATATTAAGAAGGATATTTATAACATAGGTATCTAATCTTTATAAAGATCCCTTACAGACCAGTAAGAAAAATTAAGGACTATCACAAAGAGTAAATTAGGCAGTTATAAAAAAAGAGAATGAGACAAAATAGACAATTTGTATAAGGAGATACAGAATGAATAAGGGAATAAAATAAACATTTAGCCTTAATGATAAAAGGAAATGCAAATTAAAATGACATGATTTCCCACTTACTAAATTAGTGAACATTAAAGTACTAGTAAGGAATTTAAGAAATATTTAACATGTTCTTCCAGTAGGAATATAAATTACACAGCCTTTCTGGAGGGCACTTTGACAATATATATGAAGAACTTTAAAAAATGTTTCTCACTGTTCCAGGAAATATACTTCTAGAAATTTCCCCTAAGTAAATGAGTTTTACACATAGACTTTATATGTGTTCAAAAGAGTGTTACTTATACAAGAGTGGAAACAAAATGAGATAGTAATTAAATTATGATAGTCTTTAGGATGAAATATTATACAAAAGTTTACAATTATAGAGTAATATTTAATGACATGGGTATATACATACAATGTAAGTGGAATAAAATCAGAATAAAGGAGTATCTCAAATGTGTGTTAAAAATAAACCACATATTGGGGCGCCTGGGTGGCTTAGTCGGTTAAGCGTCCGACTTTCGCTTAGGTCATGATCTCGCGGTTCGTGGGTTCGAGCCCCGCGTCGGGCTCTGTGCTGACTGCCAGCTCGGAGCCTGGAGCCTGTTTCAGTCTGTGACTCCCTCTCTCTCTGACCCTCCCCTGCTCATGCTGTCTCTCTCTCTCTCCTAGAAATAAATAAAAACATTAAAAAAATAAATAAAAAAAAAATAAACCACATACACACACGCAGAGAGAAAAGCTGAAATTCTGGTGATAGGCCAGAATGTTGAGGGTAGTTCTCTCTGGCCAGTCGGATGATGGGCGATTCTTTTGGGGGTTTTTTTTTTTTTGTATTCTGTATTTTTGAAATGTTCTAGAATGATCATTCTGTGTCACTTATAATGAGAAAATAACCAAATGTGTTTTTAAAAATTTATAGGGCAGATGTCTTAGAGGCATTTTCAATTTTAATTTTAGGTCTGTTACCTGGTACCCTTCTGTGTCATAGCCCTGCTTCTGTGGCTTTCTTGTAGTTATTTATTCACTATTCATTTTTAGATGGAGTGCTGAAGAATAATAATATGTAAGTTATACCACATATAGGTCATTGATTCTGTCAGTGCCTTACATTTAAGCCATATGTCACTGTTAAAAGTAATAGCTGTCTTTTTAAAAAACCATTGCTTATATCTCTCTACCATTTTAATCTAGTAAAAAAATGCCCTGAAATTTCTGTTAAAGGGTCTTCTCTAGTTTTGTATGCCTCTTAAATATATCAAGGGAAAGGAATACAGTGAATTTTTCTCTTAAAAACTTTGTGAAGAAAAATTTTTTTTAAATTTTTTGATGTTTTGCTTTTGAGAGAGAGAGCATGCATGCAAGTAGGGGAGGGGGCAGAGAGAGAGGGAAACAGAGAATCTGAAGCAGGCTCCAGGCTCCAAGCTATATAAAGGATAAATCAGTGCAGAACCCGACACGGGGCTTGAACCCATGAACCGTGAGATTATGACTTGAGCAGAAGTCGGCTCACTTAACACTTAACTGACTGAGCCACCTAGGCGCCCCAAAGAGTCTGAGAAAAAATTTTAAAGGAATTAATTCACACTGTTGAAAATCTTTCATATATAGGCTATTTTTTTTGTCTCAAAATCACAAAAAAAAAAAATTAAAATTTTTGCCTATAGAAATATGCAGTAAGAAATAATCTGAAGGTTTTTCATGTTATATAAATTCCTTTTAAACATGTTTTGTACTCTTTTCAAGTCAATATTAAGAAACCCTGTGAAAATTAAAAACCTGATGTATTGTAGCCAAATGATCTGCAGGTGAAGTCTTCAAAAGTGTAATAACCTTAAGGTTAGTGTGTATTTTTCTAAGGTAGAAGTTTGTCTGGTGCTGTTTTGCTCACTATTTTAATCAAATGAGCAGTCTTGTTTTCCATTTCTCAGAGATTCACCAGTTCTGGAAACAAACTTAGTTGGCTTCGAGTACACTCCTTAGAACTTAAAGGGGATGTTTAAACATTTCACAGATATAAATCTACTGTCCTAGCTGGGAGTAATCTTGACCCTCTGTACTGGTCACTTAATTCATTAAATTGTTCACTCATAAAATACTTAGATGTCCACTCTGAGGCCCGTGGCTATAGAATGATGGAAAGAGTAATTAGAAGTGAATAAGTATCTTAAACAACCTGTAGAGTTTAGTGAAAACAGATGTACAATAAATTCTGTAATATATATGGCAGAACACACAGAAACTTGGGAGGTTCAGAAGAGGGAGAGATTCCTTCTAGGGAAGAAAGGACATGTGAGAAATGGAGAGGTGATCTTGGCGTGGGAAAAGGCATCTTCCTGGGACCCTTGACAAGCAGGTGGAGGAGGAGCCCTTTGGCCGTGTGCCGTAGCTGCTGTTCACTGCTGAAAAGTGTATGTCTTTTTTTCTGTAGCTGATCTGAAAATCCCCTGATGGAATGCCATAGGCCCTTAGCGTAGCTTTCACTGATCAAAATCCATTTGCATTTGCTACTTGTACGAGACACTGCCAAATAATTTATGGTATCATTGCATTAGAAATTGCTTAGTTTGCAGGATTGATAATACAAAAGCTTTGACAAGCCACTGCTGAATTTTGTTTCATCTACTTAAAAAAATCATTTATCATTGATAGTAATTGAGTTTGAGATGAATAGTGAAAATCTTGAGCTCTTGAAAATTCCTATTATTCATGCATCTTGTTTTTTGTACTGAGCCCTTAGAATTAGGTAGTGAACAAACCTGACATGACCTGTGCCCTCATAGCACTTACAAAGTTAAGAACAAATAACTACATTGAGTCGATTGTTCAACAAACAGGAAGTTAAATATTCTAGTATTCATTAAATGTTGAAAGTTTACATCAAAGTAATCTCTGAATTTATATTTCCTCTTTAACATCAGCATTCTTGTAAATAATCACCCTAATGTTCATCATTATTATAGAATTTGGCTTTTCTGTGAGGGTGCCAATCAGAATGTGATTGATCAAGGTCCAGGGAAAGAATGACAAATCCTTAAATTCTGTGGTGTATATAAAAAAAATCTCTTCTTACTTTATCAGGGAAAAGGGGAAACTAGCGTTTACGAAGCTTCCACTAAGTGACAGCACTGTGTTGGACATTGTATACAGTGTTAGTGGTAGTGGTAGAAGTATTGTTATCAAAAAAAAAAAAAAAAGGAACAAATGAAAGAAATCCAAGGCATTAATGGAGAAAGAAAAGCCTTTGGCTGTTCCACTTCTCACTTCCCTTTTTTCTTCCTACAAGATTCTTCTTGATGAACTGTCTTCTACTAAACACTGGGCATCCATGCACGTTTCAGACCACAGTGGATTTCACTACCGCCAGTTTTTGTTAAAGTCTTTGATTAGCCAAACTGTGAGAGATGGTTCTGTATTGGAGCAAAACACTTTGAGAAGTGAGCCAGCTCTAGTTCTTGCAAAAGATGAAGAAGCAGCAGCTTCAACAGAGGAAGCAAGGATAAATCTTCCCCATCTTCTAGAAGAAGAAGTTGAATTCAGCACTGATCTGATTGATTCCTATCCAGGACATGAAACCCTTTGGTGTCACAGGTGAGAGAAGCGAAAAATCCATTTTCTGCATGAAACCACATGTCTTCCTGAGAGCTATAGAAGGTCTTACATCGTAGGCCACCCTCTGGAGTAAATACGGTAATCTGGTTGTGGAGCTTTGCCTGTGTTCAGAGGAGTTTCCATTACCATATTCTCATGATCTTCAGTAAGAGGTTCCTCATGCAGGTCTTTGACTAATGCTTAGATGGTAGCATTCGACCTTGACTGTGCAACACCTATGTTACTTTCAAACTGAACACAGAAGTTTCTAGACTCCCTCCTTGGAGATCCTGATATTTGTAGCATGTCTGGGGTGGAATGCTGGCATCTAGTCTTCAAAAAAAAAAGGGAAAAAACCTAACAGGTAAATTTTGACACAGAGTTGGGTTTAGACCATTGATTAGCCCATTGATTGGACCCTGAGAATAGTTAAGTTTTTTGAAGGTCTGCAAATTAACTTTCCTTAAGTTAATAAGCTCTTGACACTTGGTTGGGTTCTGTTGTTGTTTTGGGTTTTTTTTAAAAAAGTAAGGTGTGCTTTGGGAGCAGGACAGGATTATTAGGAAGGAGTGAAAGAGTAAGATTAGCAACCTCGTAACCTGAGTTCTGAGTACATTTGACAGCCAGGTAACTTTTGTGTTGGAATGAAGTCCAGGTATGGGAACCCTTTTTTGAAGCATCTCTGTCTCTATAAATGCGGATTCTACTTCAGGCTGTAGGATTGTATTTGTAGACAAAGGACTTGCCTGTGCCAAGCTAGGAGATAGACATTTTAAATACTTGTATATTTTTAAAGTTGTTGAGATGTGCGCCTTTTGAGGAGATGTGTTCAGCTGCCCTTCCAGGCTAAACACGTTTAGAAGATGGGAGACCATCTACCCTCTTTGGCACCCTCCGAAATGATTTTCTTTTTCTCGTATAAAAAAGACACTGTTATTCCACATTTTCTAGAGACAAGATAGACATTAACTTCCATGTTGTTTTGATGTTACAGATTTTTTAGTTGGCTATTTTATATTTAGGTAATCAGTAGTAAGATTGAGAAAAATTTTAAATTATATTTGTGTTGAAGAGATAGCTAGATTAGCAGAGTAGAAGCTTTGTGTAAAGATTAATTGAAGTTTGGGGTGGTGCGTGGGGAAAAGAGACCGTTGGGATGGCCTGGATGTTATACAGACCCGTTTTCTGCTACTGAGTCAGTCCCTTTCGGCACCTCATCTGTCCTTTCAGTTTTATCCTGTATGAAAGGGCTAAATTATATGCTCCCTGTCTTCTCCAAAATATGCTGGGAAAATGGGCAGAATTAACTTTTCAGAGCTTAGAGTTGTTAATACGAATAATGAGATAGAAGAGCCTAGAATCTGTGTTGTTGACCTTATTGTATACAGTAGATATGCACTCCACTGAGTCAAAATTTTTGGAGATTAGGCACATAGATCTTCATTCTTAACAACTCTAGATGAGTCTACGGGCAGGGTACCGGCTCTCCTTAGAGAGGGAGAGAGCTGTGTCTTCTAAATGCTTTGCTCAGAGCTCAGCACATTCCTCCTGTTTGATTAGACAGTAGTTACAGTGACGGATTTCAGGGAAAGTTAAGTTGGTTTTTAGATAATAAGACGTGTTCTTATTAAAGAAAGTACTGGATAGAGGCCATGGACTAAGCCTTTAGAGGAGCTATTTAATCCCTATAAATCACTTCTGTTTTAGGATATCAGTAATTTTTGGTTCCGTTTTGTTTTTTTTTTTTTTAACAGCAGAGATTGGGCTATGACCCATTTCTAATTTCCGATTGTAGTTCCAAAGAGTAACAATTCCAGGTGGTTGCCGTCATCTCAGTCGGTGATATTAAACATCCTTTGAGGGTCGTAGTATTCTTCTCACAGTCCAGTAATCTGGGCTTGTAAGACTCTGGGCTGAATACGCAGACTTCAGGGTAACTCCTCCACCTCCTTCCTCCAGGTAACTCGAGGTCACTAAAGGGGTGAACTGAGTACAGTACGTTTTGAAATTATCAGCTTATTTTAGTTGGTCCGAGGGTTGTGGGTTATCGTTAAGCTGAAATTATCAGCTTATTTTTTTTCCTGAAAAGCTTGACTTTGTGATATGAGTTTTCTGTATTCTCGCCCCCCTCCCCCCTCCTCTTTCACAGGCGGCATATTTTCTACCTTCAGCATCACTTACATGGTAGGTTTCCTCACAGTGTGACCCTGTTGTCACCTGCAGACAGCCCCGGGGGGACTTCGAGTGACTTGCACCTCATCCCAGGAGGCCCCCACATGTCTCAGGCCATGGAGGTGGATGGGCTGAATGACTCCAGCAAGCAAGGCTATTCCCAGGAAACCAAACGCCTGAAGCGGACCCCAGCTCCAGACTCGCGGGGCCTGGAAATGGAGCACAGGTTCATCGATCAAGTACTGTCCACCTGCCGGGACGCAGAGCAGGCCAGGTTTGCCAGTGCCTACCGGAAATGGCTGGTTACCCTGAGTCAGTGAAGGAGGTGGGTTAGTCCCGCAAGGTCCCCCTCAGTGCAATATTGCTTTCCCTTCTCACACAGTCGCATGAATTGTTTGCTGTTATGTGTTCTTCATCTTTAGGTTAAAAGTCCATGGTAAATCTTTCATTTTATTTATTTTGTTAAGAACTGGCATTCCTTTGGGGATAAAATAACTGTAGTTTCTTCTGCTAAACATTGAGTCTTAATTTTTTTCTTCTCATCCTTTATATTTCTGTACATGAAGCTTCCCATTTGGTTCTCCCCGTTGGTTCACAGACACATGTACCCGCCTCAGTGCAGTTGCTGTATAGGCTAGTTTCTTTTCCAGTTAAAAATTTAAGTTGTAGTTCAGCCTTAGAATAACACAAGCTCAGAATAACTCCATCTAATTATTGTTTTGAGAATCATATGGCCAGATAGAAGGGATTTGAGAAAATATCATTTCTCTTTCTCGACTCAAGTTATTGACCAATGTAACCAAAGTCAGAAGTATCGGAATTTATATAAAAAAACATGCTTCCATTGTGTAATCCATTTTCAAATGGTTATTTTAAAAGAAAAACTAATTTTAAGACTTTATGTAATTGCAGTACTGGGAAATTATTTTTATTACTAGTTTTGATAGATTCTTTTTACCTCAAATTTGATATGGGCCAAAAACACTCACGTTAGCCCTTATAAAAACCATTATTTTTTAAAACCTGGAATGCCATTTTTAGTTACTGCGATTTATCTTCCTTTTAAATTCACCATGAAAAGTGAAATATGCATGGAAATGTATCCATTAAAAATCTTCATTTTTAAAAATTTAAGTTCTTGAAGGTACACTTAAGCCACAAAATTTTTATGAAGTGGTTATTAAAAATTTGCTGGCAAAAGCCAGGGGGAAAGAATAGATTTTGAAGGTTGGGTCTTCAATCTTTATTTAAAAAAAAATAAAACAACTTAAAGACTTTGATACTAAACTTATCAGGGATGAGGCACCAAAGTAGGCACCGTACAGCTGTATCTTATCTTAGTAATAAGGGCTGGGTTCTTCAGGTCTGTGAGGCCAGGTGGGAAAAGGGCCAGCTAATGTTTACTTTCTTAATACGTTTTCTCCCCTTGTAAATAGTCTGTGTTTGTTATTTCCTTTTCACCTATCTTTTCTTCATTTTCCCAGTCCATTCCATATTTTTTGACCCTTTCACTCTCCTATGTTTTTCCTTAATTGTCTAATTTTAAGGATATGTTCTGAAGATACTCTCCGTCCTTTTCCCAATGAATTTCATAACCCGTTAAACACAAACACACATAATATTCGTACGAACTGCCCTTCTCAAAGTTCCCCTAGTGATGGAAACTGCCTGTCGTCCGGTACGTGTGAGCAGGATGCCATAGTGGCAGAAGTAAGTGACCTCCATGCTTTGCTTGTTCTCGTTTTCACATGCTAGGTCACCTGTGGGGTGAGGGGACAGGCATAAAGGCAGGCTTCTCCTAGCTTGTATTATGGAAACCTTGGGCTTGAGTGAGGCACATGGCCTTAAGCTTAGGGAAGGAATAAGTTCTTTCTTCCTGCATCATGGTTTTGTTGCGGAGCAACCTGTCAGGTGAGACTTTAGAACACCAGAAAAACTGTCCAGCCCGGCCCTTGCAGACAGAAGCTGCTTTTCTCTTTTGGGACAAAATTAACCTTTTATAGTTTTCATAGTATTTTAGAAATGTAAGAAAATAATTGCCATTATGAACATAATTCCATGGCCCTTTGTGTACAAAGCGTATTTTGAATCAAATACCTCAAGGTCTACCTAGACCTCTGTGGATAAAACCATTAGCTTGTGATTTTCTGCACCTACAGGGGATGGTGGGGCGACTGCATGGAGAGGAAATGAGAGACTCAGCCCCATTCCACTGGATTCATGTTGCCAGATCCTGGCCTCGCTCAGTATTCCCTTTCTTCCAAGCATCATTTTAAGTATCCCAAGTAATAGGGCTTCTTCTGTTTGATGTGAGAGTGTCAGGACAGGAGTATTGTCAATCCCCTGTGAACAGCAGCTCCATTTGACAGTGCTCCACGCCTTTTTCTACCCTCCACAGAGCATCCTACCCACCTTTGATGTTATCTGCCTTCGTGTGTTTTAAGGCCTTTAATCCACCCCTTTATGAAGCCATGCAGTCCTTTAAGATACCTTTGTCTCGTCTTCCTAACAAAGTTTTGAGTAGGGAGTAAAAACACAAATATCCAAAGGATACTTACCGTTTGTGACTTTTGTGTGTACTTTATTTCTAATGTCTGTACTTTTCAAGTGTTCATTCACAGAAAAACCTAGTATTGCCCTATATGGCTGTGTTTTTTCCTAAGTGGTTGACATCTAAACTCATTAGCTGTAGCGTGGTAGTGAGTTCATGCAGTGGAAAGGATGTGTCTGTTTTCAGGGACTTGTTAGTCTTTCCTTTTTTTTTTTTTTTTTTTCCTGTACATACGTCATTGTTTGTTGAAAGGAAAAGATAGTTTAGACTGACCCACTGCATCAAACTTTCATTGGAAGGACAGTAGGCCATCCTGCTGTCCTGTGGATCAAGAATACTACCGACAAGCCAAAAGCAATAAGATCTGTAAATACCTCCACCACCAACTTCCTCCCCAACCCCACCTTTTTCTGATAAACCTATTTTGGTAATTTGGTGTTCCCAGATTCTACTGTGTGCCTTGCACATGGTGAGGACTCATTAAATATTTATCAAATTAATAAATGATTCATTGAAAATAGGAAAGATTGATCATGAGTAATGGATAGAATAAGTTAGGATTGAGAAATTGATAGATTAGAGCAATGGATGATGAATGAATGATATATGCCAGCGTCATGATACTACAGGTGAGCTATTACATATAGAATTAAGTTAATTTAGCTTATTCCTCATTTAACTACCTTGTTTAAAGCTTGTTAAATCCCAGCCAAAAAATGCAGGTCTATAATTATGAATTAACTCTACTTTAACATATATTAAAAATTCATAGAACAAAGCTTATTCGCATTAAGAACACCACTTTCTGTTCATTTATGGTATTGGAAGGCAGATTTTGCCAACAGAGCCAGAGACACTTGGAGTGTTTGAAGAAATTTTTTATTTCAAAGACTTTTTGATCTCTGTATGTGCACGGATAGTCATTTTCTGCGTCTCCTTTTCTACTCCCCAGCTTGAACCATAGACCTTTTAGGTATTTCTTAAACCTTTGTGAGTCATTTTTTTTCCTCTTAAATTTAAGGATTAGCTACCTATTAATTTCCCCTTTTTCTTTTCTAGGTTTTAGCATTTTTATTACCTCTTTGTAAACTCTCAGCCCCAGCTCTGAGTCATATCCCTTATTCCTATGGTATGGTTCTGATTAAAGGCTTTTTTAAATTACTAGGATTAAATGTATAATGTTGTCACTAAAAGCCATTTAAATCTTCAGATAAGGGCTTATGTGACACAAGATGTGAAAACAAAAGTTCCTCAACTTTTACGTGGCAGTATGTAGGAAAGCATAGACTGTGTGATTTAGATGTATTCACGTCATGTCAATTCATGCTTGTTATATAAAGAGAACTTTTAATGTTGTTGAGAACACATTACGTTAGTAATTTTCTGGAGCACAAGATGGTGTCTGACATGAGCTAAATATTAATTTAGGAGTTCAGCTGCCACTTACTGTACAACAGTCTAATCAATATTTAGTCCCTCCTAATTACAGACAATACTAAAGATTTAGTTATAAAAAGAAATAACATATATTCTTTTCTTTGCAGAAAGTTTTTGTAAGCTGACAGTTATTTTGTTACCAGAGAATTCTATTTTAGAACTTTAAGATATTTAAAATACGCTAGGAAATTTGAACAGCATTATTAAAACCTTTTGTCTTATGAGTAAACTTTCCCAGTAGACTGTGCAGCCCCGGTACTTCATACCTGCTACCCCCCACCCCCCACCCCCCAATGCCTGGGGGCACTCTCCCTGTGCTCCCATTCCCTGGAGAAGTGTGTGGAGGCCCAGCAAGGCGGAGACGAATGCGTGGCTTGAAGGCAGCGGGCAGGGGAAAACTCAACCCTGAGAATTCTACTTGTCACACAGTGTCTTTTAAAAAATAGCTATACATACTGTGGTAATTTGAGTGCCTTTCTTATTTCTAGAGAGAGCAAGATTAATGTTTAGGTAGAAAACAAAGGATGGAAGTTTTATCAAACAGTTGACTATAACTCGTTTCATTTATTCCAGTTGCTAGGCACGGCCCCGTGGAGTTTTTTATCCATTCATGAGATACTGACATGAGCAGGTAGGATGCTTTGGTTTGTATTGCTTAGTTAGCATGCTTAAGCACCCTACCAGGAGGAATTAAGTCTTTCCCTGGGACAACTAACTTGCTGGGGGTGGAGGCATTGTATTTAGAGTGTGCGTTATTAAAGGTTAGCCTGAAGCCGTGCAGCCCACGTTCAAGGGAAACAGTGGCACTGTACCCTAAAAGAAAGTCCCTATGATTGTCCTAAATAGATCCTTTGCCTCACTTTAAGGTTTTTAAGAATTTCCTCCCAAATTCTGTGTTGGAGAAAAAGAAGTAAATAGATGAAATTTAAAGTATGGCATTTTATATATTTGGTTATGGAGAGGGGAGGGATAGAGAGTCCATATTTCAAGATTGCAGATAACTTTTAATTATAATTTCATAAAGATAGCTAACGATTCCAAAGTGCTTTTCAGAGGACTATTGAATAATATATTCCTAAATGGCAGCAATAGGTCATAGTTCATAGTGGAGACAGAAAACCATTGTGTCAGTTGTAGATCTGTGTGTGTGTGTGTGTGTGTGTGTGTGTGTGTGTGTGTTGCAGGGGGCACATCTGGCTCTCAACTTGGACATCTGTATTCTCGTTAGGTCATGTTAACACTGTAAAACCAAACTCTTTGCTAAAAAAAAAAAAAAGTAGCAGTAGCGTAGTCTGCTGATGAAACTTTGTGCTTCCAAGAATATTAGCTCTATATAGGTTGTGCTTTTTGGACAATAGTAAGGTCCACAAGGCTAACCCTGGCATTTCTTTTATTGATCTGTTATTCCTCAGGGTGTAGAAGATTTAGTAAACTTAGGACAAAATTTTATATTCAGCGGCAAAAAGGAAAAGGCAAAAATACGCTAAATATATTACTAGCTCTTAAAATTTTAGTATAGATAGTATTTTTTATAAACCACTACCTGTGCAGTAGCTCGTGGACACTCTGTGACTGCCTCACTCTTCTTCCTCTCGCCGCTTCCCTAGGCTCTTACGAATGTTCTCTTAACCCACGTCTTCTACGGAATCAGTTTCTGTACTGTATTGTTTCCCACCTTTGGCAGAGGTGGGGGTGTTTCAGTTGACCTCATTTTGTTTTTGGAAATCCTGTTCAAGAAATGATTGCTGTTGGTTTTCAAACTGACAACTTTTTTTTGCTTCTTAAAATTTCAGTTTCCCTGTGAGAGTGTTCTCTGTGCAGACCCCGTACGGGTTCAGGACAGTGCGTGATGCCTCACGCCTTGTAGGAATCCATCAGGTCGGAATGGTTAAAGGCTAGAAAGCGAAAACTAGCTTCCCTCTGTCTTGTCGCCATTGCCCGCATCCATAGCTTCAGGAGAAATATGGTATTGTGCTGAAGGTACATAATTAGCTTCAAAACATTCAAGGCAAGATACACAGCTGCAACACGTTGTAGGTGAAACTTCCATACTTTTCAGGCCACATATATGTGTGTTCACATATATGTATGTATATATAGATTTAAATGGGATTTGGAACTTGAATTTATATAGTGATTTTACAGAGAATTTTATTTAAGAGGTTTTTATTTTCATATTTGCTTAAAGTGCTCCTCTTTAAAAGCAGTTTTCTGTATTAAACCAGCCCCCTCAAGCAAAGTTGGAAACCTAACACAAGTGCCATTCTCCCGAATTAACCAGATATCTGTGTAAACTGTTTATTTTTGTCTTTGGATGCTTCTGAACCTGGACGTTCTGGCTGTTCTTCCATACTTTTAGGGAATCAGCCTTAATTTTGTGTATGGCCATCACTTTCCTCAAAGTACTATGCAGCTTACTTCAAATGTTTATTTATCTTTATAAAGTGATCAGTAATACGTATTGAGATTTTTTTTCATGTCGGAAGTGAACAATTTCACACATTCAGACAGTGACTCATTAGAAGTGCTCATATATTATCTTCCCTCACCAGTGTCATCTTGCATTTGGAGCAGGTATTTTTCTTATTGGTTAAAGAATGAGTGTAGACTGAGTGCAGTCATAGTAGGCGCTCAATAAATATTTAGACAGTTACTGATCTAACATCAAATCAACAGCTTTTGGAAAGGAAACTTGTTATCTTTTCATGGAGGGGTATATTTTTAGAGTAATATATGTTTGAAACTGAAAAATTATATCATTTGTCTTGAATTACTAGGCTTATTTAGGCTGGAGTTAGTAACATGCAATAAAAATCTTGTTTGTATAGAACATGGTCTGAAGATAGGAGATGGGAAGAGTTTAAGCAAGTATCTTTCTGTGCAAGGCACATTAATAAATGTGATTAAATGTCTTAATAGGCTGCCAAACGAGAGAGAGAGAGACAGAGAGACAGAACTGCTGTAGACTTCTGCAGTCGGGTTCTATGTTGTGCGCCTGATACTGCCTGGCTTAGGTTCTGTTTATTTCTTCTTAAAACCTGGTTGCTTTCCAGTGTCTTAAAAGTGGTGATGGTAAAATATAAAATTATATTAAGTAACTTCTCCTTACTTGTTTTCTCAGAACATCTTTACTCTGAGGGGGAAATCCTTATGAAGGACACAGTAGTTTCAGCATTGGTTCATTTGCAGCTTTCAGAGCACTTTTGACAGAGCTTACCCAGTGTAAACAGATTTAAACAATTGAAAAACAAACATTCCGACCTGAGCTGTGAGGAGCAGAGTGTGTAATCCAAGCATCATTAGGCATCACCTCCTGGTGAGGTTCTTGATGCAGGACTATGATACTGGCTTCTGACTGTGGTGACCGTTGTCAGTGTTCTATTTTGGTGGTGTTCCTAGGAGAATAATGAAATGTGTGCTAGATTAATTTGTATTTGAGATGAATACAATAAAAGATGATGTGGTATCAATATGCCAGGGATTTATACACACTATTAATAAAATTTTTTAACAAAGGAGGAGGGGCAGAAAATGAGAAGAGGTCAGTGATATTTTTTAATAGCCTCTAAATTTTTTTTTAAAAATCCAAGCCTCTCAGACACTAAGCAGTTGCTTACTTTATTTAACACTGAGGGACTCTAAGGGATAGTTCTCAGATACTATCTGCTACTAGAATTGACCTTGTGGGAGAATTTTATATTGCTTGAAGATTTTCCAGAATAATGGAGTATTTAAGTTGCAGTTTAATGTTTTTTTAAAGATTTTCTTCGGGCTCTGTGCT